ACTTGTGGGTTTGGGTGTGTTTGGGGGGGGGTGTAGTGGGTGGTAGTGGGGGGTTTTGAGGGGGGGTTGTAAAGATTGGGGGGGAGGTTGTAGGGGTTGAGGGGGGCATTGGAATTGCGGGTTGCAGGGCACGGGTGTCGGGAAAGGGGGGTTGAGGGGGGAACCACGTGAACGAGTGAAGCTGCTGCCACGGGGGGAAAGAGTGTTTCGCGGCCGATGTACGGGACGGTAGCAGACAACTGACCAGTCGGCGGTCGTGGAGAAGCAGTCCTCTCAGGGGGAGGGAGGAGGGGGAGAGGGCGTTGGGGAGGGACATGCCTGGGTGGATGGAGGGGCTGTCACTTTCTTCCCCCACTCCCACCCCCCCGGGTGGGGGGGGGCCGGGGCGGAGCGGTGGAAAGGGAGGAGAGCGCTCAGCCACGCCAAAGAGCTTCAGGGTTCAGTTGCGGGGCCGACCCAAGACGACGCGCGACAAAATCGCAATAGGTTTTTGATTGCATGCATGCGTGTATGTATGTATGTATGTATGTATGTATGTATGTATGTATGTATGTATGTATGTATGTATGTATGTATGTATGTATGTATGTATGCATGTGTGCGTACGTTTCGCCAGCACGTACCTTTTTATTACCCTTGCCTGTTGCGGCGGCCTTGTCCCCAGGACCCCCCGCTCCCGCCCCCAGAAAGCCCTCCCGCTGGAGCTCCAAGTACGCCCGGCGCTCCTCATCGTCGTCGGCCGCGGCGGTGGCGGCGGCGGCGGTGGAGCGGCGGCCCAGCGGCCGCAACAAACCGTAATCTGCAGTGAGGAACAATAGATATTACGTTGTATTAATTATATTATGTTATATAACATATATATTATATTATATTATAATTATACTTAATTATATTTATACAAAACAATGTGGTGTACTGGTAATATTTCCTACTACTAAACTTTTTCCCCTCCCTCCCCGCTCTTCCCCCCCCTCCCCTCCCCGCTCCCCTCCCCCCTCCCTCCCCCTCCTCCCTAAACCCTAACCCCTAACCCCACCTTCCGATGCAGGCCCCCAGTCCTTGTCCCGCTTCAGCGCGTCCAGCTGCCGCTGCAGGATGCCGCACGCTAGCCGCCGGGCGCTGGCGATCTTCTCATTGACGTTGAGACGCTGCACGCGGACGAAGTGGGCGTTGAAGCCCTCAGTGCCCTCCATGGCCGCCTGGGTAGCCAGCTTGCGAACCAGGTCGATGCGCCGCCACCTGAGGGTGCGTGTGTGTCGGGTGTGTGGAGTGGGAGCGCGAAAAATACGGGAGGGATGAAGTAACACGACCAAACAAACAAACAAACAACCAAAGGAAAGGCTTTTGGGGAAATTGGTTGATATGCGAAAGGGGGAAGGGGGTTGGAGTCAGGACGGGGAGAAAGGGTGAGAGTGGGTGTGAGGGGTTTCGGCGGGGTGGGGGAGGGGAAGTGCGGGTTTTCCTAGGATGGCGAGAACGTGGGATGAAAACACACACGCATACGTCTATGCACACGCAGCAAGGGGTTTTCAGAAAGTGATGTCCCCCCGGGATGGAGTTTGGGGTGGGGGTGAGGTGGGTGTTGGCGGGACGACAGCACACATACACACACGGGGCCTTCCAAGCTGCAGGCCCCCCTCTCCACACACACACACACCTACACAGACCCGGGCGGGGCGGCCTCTTCCCCCCCAACACACACACAGCTCCCCCCCACACACCTGTTAGTCATGGCATCAACGACGTCCTTCTTCACCCCCCACTGCATCAACATGCGCCCCGCCTCCTCGTGCCCCAGCTTGCGGAGATCCGCTTCCGTACCCGTGATGCTGCCCTCCTGGGGGGTTAGGAGGGCGACGTACAGACATACAGAGCGACAGATGGACACATGGACAGACCACCATGGAGATACGATCACACGTGACATACATACATGGATACGTGGGACATAATAACATACGGGAATTCTGCGGGAGGGGGGGGAGGGGAAGGTATTCCGGCCCTGCAACGCCCTCCACCTGCGAGGTATTCTATTTGTGTGTGTGCGTGTGTATGTGCGAGGGGGAAAGGGGGTTATGTGTGTGTGTGTGTTTTACCGAACTGAGCCTCGGAAAGGAAGTGGTGTGCGGATGTTTGAGGGTACCCCTGGACACGTTCTTCCTCCATCGCCACATCGTCACATCGTCACACACACACAGCCGCCAACTTAACCCCTACCCGTTGCTGCTAGCCCGCATCCATACCCTCTTCTCCCCGCAGGGCTCCCCCCAAGGTCCCCCCTCCTCATACACACATACACACGCACACGCATACACACACGCACCTGCGGCGGCTTATCCTTGAGGTCAGGCCGGGTCACCCGCTGCCAGTCCGCCTGAAAGCAAAGTCCGTAACCACGACCTGCGACCCCGGGGGGAAAGGGTGGGGGGGATGGGGGTGGGGGGGTGGAAAAGAGGGGAAGTCAGAGAGGGGGGAAAGGGGTTTTGAAGGTCATGGTGTCATGTGTATGTGTGCGTGTGTGTATGTGTGCGTGTGTGTATGTGCGTGTGTGTATGTGTGTGTACGTGTGCGGGGTTGATTCGGTGACGGGTAACAGCTCCTCCAAAGCGCGGATCAATCTATACCCCGTACGGCTTCGTAAGCTCTGCGCGCGTACGGCAACCTTGTAACACAGCCGGGTTTGCCTCCGCACGCCACCCTTTACTTCACTTCACTCCATGCCGCCCCCTTCCCGGAATTGATAGGGCCATCTAAAACCCATTCACTGCAGGTCTTTAACCCCTATCCCCCTTTTTCCCTTAACCCCCCAAACCCCCCCCCTCCCCTCCCCCCCCCCACCAAACCCTCCCCCTCCTGCCCCTTCTCCCCCCTTCCCCTCCCCCACCCCACCCCCACCAGTCGGGTCGAAGGGGCCCTCCACTCGTAGCCACGTGCTCCCCCGGGTGTCCCCCCGGGTGGCGGACGCGTAGGAGCCAGTAGTGACCCATGGGGCGGTGTTGACGGCCCAGTCGATCAGACGAAGAGCTGGACCCGCCTGCGGGTTGGAGGGGGGGGGGGATTGGACGCCGGGCGGCCCGGGGGGTGGGGAGTTGGGTTGGGTGTTTAGGAGGGGGTTGTGAGGCCGTCGGGGGATCAGTGGGTCACGGTGGACTTAAAAGAGTTTGAGAAAAGGTGTACGACAGCCTGCAAGCATGCAAAACAACCCCAACCCCCACGTACCCATATATTTCCCTCACCAGGGCTCAAAACATCTCTCATTTTGGAATACACTAACACACACGCGCAACGGGAAAAGGCGGGAAATTTCGAAAGGAAAAGACACGAAATACGCAGAAATACATAAAACAATCAAACAAACAAACAAACCATCACGAACACACACACACAAAAAAAACACGCACGTCAAAAATGCACGCATACGAAGACACGCACAAAACACACCTTCCCCTCCCTTTCTCCCCCCCCTTTTTACGCCTTCCCCCCCCCCTCCCCACCTTGGGATTCAGCTCCGCCAGCTGTCTGATGGCCGCCTGCCACCTTTCCGGCTCCATCCTCGCCACCGCCGTCAGCGCCTGCAGGTGCTGCAGTCCGAGACCCTTCAGCCGCAGCTCCGAAGACCGCATGGCCTCGTACGCACACACCACGTCCGGACGGAGCATCTCTCGGAGCTTAGCCTCCTGGGGGCCGCAGTAACGTTGGGGGGGGGAGGTAGGGAGGAGGTAAGCTCTCTGGGTAACGCAACCGCAACCGAGGTGTAACTAACTAACTAACCAACATGCATAAATACATGCAAAAAACAAAGAAAAAGCAAGATTTGGGGAATGAGAAAACACGAACATTGTACACCCACGCGGCTTTCCCCCCTTTCAACCCCAACATAACCCAACCCACACACACACAGACAGGCCATACACACGCACCTCCGTGACCGGCACCCCCTCCGGCAGCTCGTACTCAGGATTGTCCGACACCGCCACCACGCCGCCGTTGATCCCGTTCATTGCCGCTGTCGCCGCCGCGCCCTCCTTCTCCTTCAGACGACATCCGCACTCCTTTTCTAAGCGCGCGCGGATCTCGTCCCGCGGAATGTGGGGCAGCTGGTCAGCCACGTCCTTCAGGGCGATGGAGGGCTTGGCGTTGGGCTGTCGGGGATCGGGGGATGGAGGGGGGAAGTACGGCAGAGAGAAACGCGAGTGGACCAACTCATCCGGGGGTGGAGTGGGGGAATGTGTGTGTGTGTGTGGGTACGACTAAGCACAGACGATTGGCAAAAATGGGGGTGGGGGTGTTGGGGGGATGTGTGTGTGTGTGGAGGGGGGAAGTGATGGTTGGGGCGGGGGAGGTGGGGGTGTTGGGGGGGGGAGAACTGTGTGTGTGTGTGTGTGTTGGGTATGGGATTTTCATGGATGCATGTGGAAAGGACCGAGTAAATGGTGCGTTTTTGTGTTTGCAGTTGCGTCAGGGTGACGAGGAGAACATATTGAGGGGAGGGCCCGCGCGTGCGTGTGTATGTGTGTCCGTATATATGCATCGCTTTATGTTTGTTTATAGGTACTTAGGATGGACGAATACAGGGAGGGAGAGGTTCAGGAGAGCAACAACATCAACAGAGCAACAACAGCAACAGCAACAGCAACAGCAACAGCAGCAACGTCATCATCAGCAGCAGCAGCAACAATGTGTTTCGGTTCGGTCAGGGGCCCCAACGGTGCTCGTCGTTCTTCCTCAGGGGGAGCCGCCCACGCAGTGTATCCACCCCCTTGTCAACATCAGGAGCAGCAGCAGCAGCAGCAGCAGTAGAAGGGGACGGGGCCCACGGTGATATCATCAGCACACCGCCGCGGAGGCCGGGAGGCACCCTATGAACCCTCTCCCCTCTCTCCTCTCCTTCACCCCCACCCACCTCCAAAACCCCTCCCCCCTCCCCCCTCCCCCCTCCCCTACCCACTCACATGTCTAGTCCGCGCCCTCTGCAACGCTCGCGCAACCACCACAAAAATTCGATTGGAGTTGTAGTTTTTGATCCACTCGGTGTCCCACGGCTCCGGAACCCGCTCATGCGGGTGCTGCTGCCCAACCGTCAGAGTGCCAGTCAGCTCACGCAGCTGTGCGACGATTGTGGGGAAGACGGGGTTTAGGAGGGGAGGTTAGGAGGGGAGTTTGGGTGGGAGGGATGGGGAAGGGGAGGGATGGGGAAGGGGAGGGGTTGGGAGCGGGAAAAAAAACTAAGTAAAAGTCAGTGCGAGCCGCCTCCCGGCATACGTACGTGCAGTACACCGTTGCTCGTCCGTACGAGGAGGAAGTCGGACGTCCGCGGGTCGTGCGGGGCCGCCGGCGCCTTGAACATGTGCGTGTCGACACACATGGCGGTGTGGCCCGGAGGTAAAACCGTGTAGAAGGGGGTGTTTTCGGGGCCTGGGGAAAGGGGGGGGGGGGAAACNGGGGGGGAAGGATGAGATGAGCCAATGAGAAAAG